TCTCTCTCTCTCTCTCTCTCTCTCTCTCTCTCTCTCTCTCTCTCTCTTTCTTCTTAAAGTACCCAAGGAAAAAATTTTAATGGGAATGTTCAGACTGAGCGTCCTAAGCAGTAACAGTTGACACTCATCTGGTCCCAAAGACCTAATTATGCTCTGCCTCCTGTTTCATCAGTCTGCACTTGGGACGAGTGAAATCTGTGTTTGCAGCAACATGCTTTCCGTGTGCTGGCATCTGCTCCCTTAATCTGCTAAAGACTGCCTTCTGCAAGCTCTCGGCTGAAGGTTTGGGAAACCGCATCGGCCACCATCACCAAATTAGGTTAATTTGCTGGCACCCTGTGAATCAGCAACATGGAAGCTGATGGCAGCGAGCTCCCTTCCCTGTCTGGCCTACCTCCTCTGTCCTCTATCATCCCACCAAAGGTAGTGCTTTGCTTATGGTCATTAGAGGGAGGGTACCCTGCAATAATTAAGAACCTGCCAGGTACCAGGCACCATGCAGAGCACGTGGGTCCATGACAACCCTTCTCTGATGTGGGCTTTAGTTAGCAAGGTGCCTTGTTCATGTGGCAGTTTCCACCCTCGTCTTTAGTCAGGCATTCTCTGAAATTTTTCGCAGGTCAAGTTTGGATAGTGATAAGAACAAGAAAAGGAACTGGCAAGCAGTAAGCACTCTTTATGTGATTGGCCTATTGTGCACCGGCTGGCTCATTTACTATTGGCTATGCAGCTGTGAGGCAAGCACATTGCAGATGCTGACAAGCGAGTAGCTGTTGTCTAGCGTGTAGCTGGTAAGTGGAAGACCTGAGCCTCTTTGCTCCCTCAGATCTGTGCTTTAGACACTATACTTGTGATTTTATGATGACATACGATGACAGAGTTGACAAATCAAAGCATGAAGAAGCCATGATCTCTAAAATAAAAATGTAATGAAGGAGATAAAAAAATACACACAAACACAGAAAGAAATACACACAGTGGGTACTGAATGGTAGTATGAATGGAATACTGTATACCAAAAGAGAGATTAACTCTAGGTTAGTGGCAGTAAGAAGGGCAAGGCTGAGTCAGGAGTGTCTGAGATGGGCTTTTAGGGACAGGGACATATTCGGTAAGAAGGCAGAGATGACAGATGATACTAATGAGAGAAATGGTACTGGCAGAGGATTTCACCTGGAAAAAACAGTGAATGAAATCATTGTTGGCTATCAGAAAACATTTACTATAGGCTTGCATAGAGAATATGGTTGGAGGGTCCACCATACCTGAGATATGGGGGCAAAGCCTGTGATGATGTGATTAACAACTCCACAGGACCAGGTGAGCTGGGGGGGTTGGCGGTCAGTGAAGTGGGGGGTGAAATAGACAGGCCAAAAAACGTGGGTTTTTTTTTGTTTTTTCTTTAAAAAAAAAAAAAGCAAAATGCTGTGGATGCCGAGGGACAGGATGTCAGGGAGAGCCCGGGAGGAATGTCGAGAGGGTTACTGGCAATGAGAAAGAGATGTGGCCAAGAAGGGAACAGGAAATGATGCATTGAAGAGACGCCAGGGATCTTGTTAGACTTCAGCATTTGCTTGCATAAGGAAATAGTATTTTCATTTAAGAAAAATGAGCATCTGAGAAAATAGTCATGCGTAGAAACCAAAAAAAGTGCCAAAGCGTTGGGAATTTTCATGGGACCCATGAGCTTTTGGGGACATGTTGAGTTTAAGGTGGTGCTCAGGGACACCCAGGTGGCACTATGGTCCAGGATGGTGGTGTTAACAAGGGATTGATACTACAGGGTTAAGCTTCACCAAGGCAGCAGGGAAAGCTATGGTAGTCGTTGGGAATGTCTTCGTTCATGGACGTAGATATAGTTAAGGAGGCCAAAGGAGAAGCTCAGGAGTTTCAGAAAGGGGCTAAAAGGAGAGCGAATAAAAATGAAGTCAGAATGATTCTTAAAAATGGCATGTGGTAACTGCACCCCAACTGCCTGCATTTTCCTGTGGCAAATGTCCAGATGGGTGAAAGATCTTCCTGTCCAGATTTTTGAGATAAAGCTGACATAGTCCATAACATGCAAGGGTGAGTTGGAGCACAGGGAAATTGATTTGGAGTTAAGCAGATCTTCAGTGGCTCCTGGATTTTCTGGTGTTTAAATATCAAATGGAAGTCAAGTCATTTAAGGAGACAGATACCTCACCACACACTGAGCTGGGTGTCAAATCATCCAGGAAGATCCAGACACATAAACTCACATAGAGCTGATGCTGGGCAAGTGATCTGGAGAGGAGTAAGACTATATAAACTAACAAGTAAGAGGAAGTGCACCACAGCAGTGTATCAGCAGAGCTTTCCAGGGAGACTTACTTTTGGAGACAGCAGGATATTCAGAAACTTTGGGGGCTGGGGAGGGGGGAGAGGAGGGGAGAGATGGATTGCCAGATGGCCTTCACTGGGTCTGTAAGAACGTTTGAGTGACTAACCTAGGGCTTTAGGTCAAATAATAGCTGCTAGAGATATGAGAATATTTAGAATAAACATCAAGGAAGAAACTAAATAAAACGAAACAAAAAATTTTCTAGGTTACAGAACTATTTTGAAATCATAATATGCTATTTTACAAGAATAGACTGAAATAGGAATCGAAAAATATTTGACTATGGAAATGGATCTGCCTGCCTGCCTGCCTGCCTGCCTGTCTGTCTGTCTGTCTGTCTGACTGCCTGCCTGCCTGCCTGTCTGTCTGTCTGCCTGCCTGCCTTCCTGTCTGTCTCTTTCCCAGATCCTTAGAGAAAGCAGTTTACCCTTCTCAGAAACAAAAGGGAATATTCAGAACTGTTACACAAGCACCCTCTAGTGTCAGAATCAGAACATTACACTTTACAAACTAACTTGATGCCTCTAAGTATGGAACAACTTCTTGCAATTGGATCTGGGAATTGAATGTGTAGGTCATATCTTAACCATAAAATGGTATTTTACAACGCAAAAAATGCTGATTCTCGCCGCTAGACTGAGTTTTATTAACTTATTCCACATTTCTCTATATGTGGAATTATCTTGCACTAACGGTTGCCTTCAGCCTGTCTTCTACAAATTAGAACTGTGGTCATTGGAAGCACACATCCTGCTTCTGGCCAATGTTGTCTTGTTTCTAAGACATCACTATCACTCGAGAGAGTTAGGCAAGTGTGTCTCAACTACTTCATCTGCAAACGGGGTTATGTGAGAAATTAGGTAGTGGGTCTTTATTATGGTAATTAGGCAGTTGCCTGTCTTTCTGCCTGGCAACAGTCTCTTTAAGATAGATACATATGACTGCCCCTACTGCAGTCTGTAGGACTTACGGTTTCTATTGTATAGTAGTTACAAAATGCTTTCATGGCCATTGCTGTGTGTAACAGAAGGAAGAGCCTAATTGTTAAGGAACGATGCAGTCATCTAGCATGCTGGCCAGGTGGAAAGCTTCCCACTGCCTCATCCCACAAATATCCACTAAGTCCTGTCAATTTGTAAATATTTATCAATTGTCCATCAAGCCTTCTCCGTTCTTGAGATTACATGTAGAGGAGGCCATGGCTGCCCCCTAGATGCTTATTTACTTATTTACTCTTCAGCTCCTGAGCTGGTTTTCAAACCAGACACCTCTTGATGTTCTCCCTAAAGGATTTTTTGGAGTGCTCCTTGCCTACAGCACACAGAATAACTCTTAAGCCTTTCATGACAAAGGGGCTGTTGCCTCACCAGCCCCAGCCCTCTCTCCACAGTCTTTCCTCTAGCTAGCAAGCTGGTCAGCGCAGCCTTCTCCCATGCATACCTTTCAACCTTCCTAGCCTTTTTACCTCAGCTGGACCTCCTCCAATAGGTCATTCACCCAGCCTAGTCAGGCTTTCCAAAGTGTCGTGCAAGCCTCTCTAGTGTTGCCTTTATTTCTGAAGGTATTAATGTTACTAACTGGTTTATATATCCTTTAGGTTTTGAAGGCACGGAAAGTGTCTTATTTATTTTCAACATGCTTACATTTAAGTAAATACTCACTAAAAGAAAGATTGAACATGATTCATATTAATAGCTGGAAAGGCAGGCATGTCATTGACTAATATGCTTAGCTAGGGCCTTTGGACTGTATTGCTATCTGAACATCTGGGGTTCAAGCCTGGTCCATGCCTCATGCTTTTATCTTAAATGCAAAACCAAACCAAACAAAACTGTATTCCTACCACAATGAGGCTATGGAGACTAAATGAATGTAAAGTATTTTAACACATGGCATATAGGTAATGCTTCATCTATGTATGGTTTTACTTACAGATAATTTAGATTGTAAGGGAGAGGCCATGTCTTAAGAGTTATGGCAAGCAAATGAAACATCTGTGGCTCTAACTTGAGTCTTTGATACCACATTGTACTTTTTGGTCGTCCATCAATAAACAGGTCTTAAATTTAAGTGGTCTACTAGTTTTGCTTCTTATCCTGGATTTTAGGTCTTATTTACCTCTAGAACACACATAGACCTTTGCATATGGTGGCTTTTGGAAGGTCCCTGTCTGACCCCTTTGCACATGGGATGATCCAATGAGAAAAATATGGCACCTCCTCCCCTGTGACTTTGCAGGTGGGCTGTGGAAACTCATTGTGGAGAGCAAGTTTTCTGCCATAGTTTCTTGGAAGAAATACCACCCCTACTAATTTCCAGTAACTTGTGTTTCCACTGAGAAACTTGTACCTTCCTGGGAAGGGTTTACTTTTATTATGAAAACATGTTCTTCCTACTTTTAATAATCTTATCTTTAAAGAGGGAATTTGCTCAATGGAAAGAGTGCTCTCTCTGCAAACAAATAAGTAGTTTTAATCCCTGGCATCAACATAAAAAAATAGGCATGATTGAGTATATCTATAACCGAAGTCTCGAGAGGTAAACACAGGCTGATCCCCAAAGCTATCTGAACAGCATGGCTAACTCAAACTATAACTGTCTTGAAGCAAAATGTCAGAGTAAAGAAAGACTCTTGACATTCTGATCTGGCCTCCACATAGTCACCTGCCTACTCACGTGAATCACATACACACACACAGAATCAGCCACATACCCATGTGCATCACACACACACACACACACACAAACACACATACACACTCACACACATATACATTGTCACCCACAGATCTATGTATATCACACACAGACACACACAGACATACAGAGACACACACAGACACAGACACACACACACACACAGAGTCAGCCACATACCCATGTGCATCACACACACACACACTCACACACATATACATTGTCACCCACAGACCTATGTATAGCACACATAGACACACACACAGACACAGTCAGCCACATACCCATGTGCATCACACACACACACGTACACACAGGTACAGACACATGCACATAGTCATTCACATACCCATATGCTTGCAACACACACACATGCACACACACACACATTGTTACCCACATACTTATGTTCATACAACACACACACACACACAAATATACATTGTTACTCACATAGCTATCTCTCTCTCTCTCTCTCTCTCTCTCTCTCTCACACACACACACACACACACACACATACACACACACACACACACACGTTAGGGGACTAGTAGAAATAAAAAATTAAAAAGAACAATGTTAGATAATTTTCACACATAATTCTTGCTTGTACATAACTGAAGTTGGCAATATTCTATAGGTGCTAAAGGTAAGGGAAGAGTTAAGTGGTCCATAAATTTAAGTGGTCCATAAACTATAAAGAGATAAATCAAGTGGCGGGGATGTTGGATGCAGAAATATTCACAACGGTAGTTTCATAAGGCAGAGACAAAGCTGGTGTGTAAATTTTAAGTTATCTTCAAGTTTAAACTCTCCTATTATTTTTATTCCACATAAAGAAACAGGAGAATTTAACCTAGGGTTTAATTAGCCTCTTCTACAAAGGCTGTATGAGCTGGAGACTCCTTGTGGGGTTTCGAATGAGCTTGGGAACTAGCAGAGTCAGAATTAATCCAGGAAATAGATATATTTCAAAGCCAGCCTTTTGTTTGTAAAATGGCCTGGGAATGAATCTGTGCTTACTTTGAGTTCACTGCATTTCCCTTGCTCTCCCATGATAAAATCCAGACTATGTAGACTTGGCAGTGTCTACGGTTTGGATGTTAAGCTAACAGATAGCACGTGTAAAGGAACCTGGCCTTCAGCACATGCTCATTCAATGTGAGTTGCCTCCTGTGCCTCGGAGTTTAGTGTGCATGTGTGTGTGTCCCTCTTATCATTGCTAATTAGTAATCTCCTTGCGAGCACACAGACTTTTGAGGAATAAGGTCTGATTGTAACCCATCTGTGATTTTTCAGATTGTTTTGCTCATTTTTAAAAAGCCCTGCAGCCCAGCACACTGCAAAGTATAGGAGAGTCAGATATTTTACAAGTAACTAAAAAAATGTGGATTTTGGCCCACTCATGATTGGAATGTTTTATAACTATATTCTACCTTAAAAAACAGATTTGTTTGTTTTTGTTTTTCTTACAGGCATATAAGTATTTGTCTGCATGTATATATACCATATAGGTGCCCACAGAGGCCAGAAGAGGGTGTTAGATCCCTTAGAAGCAGAGTTTCATATAATTATGAGCAACCATGTGGGTACTGGCAACCTAACCTGGGTCCTCGGCAACAACAGCAAGTGCTGTTAATAGCTGAGCCAATTCTCAAGTTCCTAGGCTAGACTACTTTCAATAAAAGCTGCCGGCAGAGGAACTCGGCAAAATATTTTCCTACTGCCAACTTTAAAACATTCCTTACCCTTTTCAAAAGAAGGTGAATCTTTTGGAGTTTCTTTTTAACAGAAGACAAGAACCTAGTGAACTTTTCCAGACTGAAGATTTTATGGAGTTATTTATACCTTCATAACATACAGTGTTAAAAATGATTGAGTATGTGCCCAGAAACCTTTTAAGTCATGGCTTTCAACAACCAATTTTATCTGGGTTCAGAAACTTAAGAAAACAGGCAATACAAACCCTTTGTCATTCTTTAAATAATAATAATAATAATAATAATAATAATAATAAAACCCCAGCTATCTGCAATTAGTATGAGCCAATCAAAAACATTGTGCTTTGGCTGCTCTGTGTCTCTCCAAGGAGCCAGGCGATCGGTAAGTATGATGGTGAAGTTTCACAGAAGGGACACGAGCCTGTTGCTGGGTGACACCTTAGCTAAATGTCACTGAGCAAAGGCCAATGAGTGAGGTTGGCAAGCAACCACCATTTTTGTTGCAGCCCAAGGCCCCATACAGCCATATATTCAAGTATAATTTGCCAAAAGGTTTTTCCATTTCATAAACAATTTAACAGTTCAGGAAATAAACCCAATGAAAAATTTCAGATAACAGACATGAGTTAAACACTGCGCTTGAAGTTTTCAGTTTGTTTTCTTTGTACCCCATGGGAACCCGAGCAATATTCTGCAAGTCCTTAAGATGGCTGTCTTTGTCACCTGTTCAGTTTCTCTCCTGCCTCCATTGGGATGGCAACAGTTGCTGCTGCTGCTTCAGTAGGGTCAAGGGTGAGGCTGAAACCCGGTGAGGAATGGGAAGGGTTTTACTTACTGCTCGCTGGGGAGTGATGAGTTCCTTGACATCGCTTTTGGTGACAAGTCATAGTCGCTGTCAGATCTGTAGAGGAAAGACTCCCTGCGTTGGCTGTGCCCGGGAAAGGCGGCATGAAGTACCAGTCCTGAAGAAGAGCTGGCTTGAGGGTCCAGTGGGCTCCGACCTGGAGAAGGGCCATTTTCCACATCAAAGCTTAAAAGGAAAGTGAGAAAGTCTGATCAGTTGAGAACTGCAGAGGTCAATTCACATATATGGAGAACTTACAGGTGGCAGGCACTGTGTGCAAGGCTCGCCCTGCAAAGCTTTGCAGAGAGTTTTAGTCTATAGTACAGGTCTTGGTTGCAGTCCTTCCTGTTTTGTCCATAGAAAGTCAAGTTCCACAAACTCCACTCATTACCCAGGTTTACTATTAATAGATAGTAACCCAGAATTTGGACCCAAGGGCAAAGCTTATGACCTCTCCACAGGCTGACCAACTGTCACAGATTCAGTATGAATAGCAGAAATAAATAAATGAAGTTTTTGACAATGAGCAACTCCAGAGGGAGGCATCTAGCACAGCTCTAGGTGTCAGACAAAAATATCATGGGAAGGCGTCTTCCTAGCTGGAAGAATTCTTCCTTACATAAATACCAGCCTCATTAAAGAATCCAATTTGCATATCTCTGAATGTTTTGGGAACAAAGTGTTACCCTGAAAACACTGGCTGTCTGATTAGAGAGGCCCAGGCTGATATTTAATATTCATATGTAAATTTAGCCACATAAATGACTTAATTAATCTGATAACACCAAATTACTGTCCCAGGCTGCTGAGCTGGGGCTCTGGAGAAGAATACCATCATAGGCTGTCATAGCAGAGGGCCAGGGAGATTCTGATCAGTGCCCCTTACCCAGGGAAGGTGCCTTCAAGCCCAGTGCTATTTTAGAAGCTTGGTATCTTGAACATAAGCAAGAGCTATGTGGGTTTTGTGTCTTGTTTCTGCCCCAGCCTCCTGCCACCCTAGAGCAGTACGTCCTTCCCAAGTTTGCTCTAACCATCCCTGATGTTTTTCTTTCTGGATGCACAGCTCCACTTAGCTTCAAATGGACAGAGACCACGTCCCCCAGTTTCTCTCAAACACTCACTGTCTCCCTGTTGCCTCTTTACTGAGCAACTGTGGAAGAGGCATGGGGAATGGGGATAGTCTTTTATCCAGTTCAGCTTCCTTTATGTTTACCTAGCTGCCACAATCATCTCAGGAATCCCAATCTGCTGTGTGTGTGTGTGTGTTTGTGTGTTTTGCTTTTGCTTATATTTCTTAAATTTACAAAGTGCTTTCTGGTATACTATTTCATTAAGCCCCACACACTCTGCCAGCTATATAATTTGATTCTATTACATTGAAGGTAAATAAGACAAAGAAAAACAAACATCAATATCTTGTTTAAGGAAACAGGCTAGATTACTGGTTTCCCTGTGCTCATTGAGATGGAGGGGATACATCCTGAGACCCTCAGCAGATGTCTGAAGAAACATATGGCAGCCAGCTCCATATGCACTGTTTTTACCTATATAGACACACTGATGATAAAGTTTGTAAGTCAGCCACAGCAAAAGATTCACAACAACTATGACCAAGACAATTCTAAACTGTACTGTAGAAATGGAGACATAGCCCTGTGGATATAAATTCTTTGTGTGAAAACACAGAGATCAGATTCTGGAGCTGAAGCACCTCTGTGAAAAAGTAGGTGAAGGGTCACAGCTGTAATTCCAGCACTGGAAGTACAGAAGTGAATCCTGAAAGCTCACAGGCCAGCTAGTCATGCACATCAGTGAAGCCCAGGTTTGCTGACACACCCTGTGCCAAGAAATAAGGCACAGTGTTCTCTTTTTTCAGTTCTTTTCTTTCTTTTACTTTTTTTCCTCAATCTGCTTTTATACCATTTTAATTACATGTAAGTATTTATGTAAGTTCTAGGTTGAGGAACTAGCAATACAATAGATGCAAATAGTCAAGGAACAAGCAAGACCATAAACACAAATAGTCAAAGAACAAGCAAGACAATAAACTAAGTCCCAAGATCACTGTTTCTAAGGCCTTATCAGGATGACCAAAATATCTGAGCCTACTTCCCTGTCCTAACCCAAAGTCATTTTCATGCCTGAAGCCTACTTCTTTGTTCTAGCCTAAGATTTAGATTGCAAGGCAGAGAGTTCTTAAGGAAGACATTTAATGTGGACCTCTGTCCTGGACAAGCATGTGTACACATGTGTCTACATGAATATATACACACATGAATTTATTGAGATAAGAAATACTGTGATAAATACTATTTAAAACTCATGAATTATTTATTTCTAGACTTTTCCATTTCATAGTTTTGAGCCATGTTTGATATTGGACAACTGAAAACATACAAAGACCATAGATAGGCAGAGCTAACCTAGTTGCCAGGCCTGTTTTCCCACTCCGTGACTTTATGCTAGTCTCATCTTTGGTTCCACAATGGCATGCTGGGTGATGGAATGCCATTTCTTTTCTAACAAAAGTTGTAGTTGGTATATAAGAGTCAGTCTATGACCACTCTGAAATGATCCTCTGGGGACATAAAGTGCCATCTTCAATAAGCCAGAAGGGAACAGTAGACTGCCTTGAGCTCTGGCTCCCTTTGTAATCAGATGAGGGAGTATGGTGCCACCCTAGAGACTGTTGATCAAAGCTGCTTTCAGACTCCATACAAAGTCTGATAGGAAGCAGCACATGAGGATCCCTGGGAGAAGGGCCAAGCAGATGCTGCAGCCACCTATTATGTACCAGGGCTTACAAGACTCCACAGATGAGCCTTCTCAGAAGCCCAATGGTCTGGGGTGGGCACTTTCCCAAGGCTGCAGACAGGTGTGTAATCCTTTGAACTCACTTTCTTGCAAACTTGCCTGAGTTGTACTTCATAACAAGTAGAAATATAATGATGTACATTGCAAACTTGCCTAGGGTGAGAACTCTACCAGCTGATGAGAAACTAAGGATTCTTTGTGACCCGCAAATCCTGTAGAACCTGTATGTCCTGATTCTGTCTATGAACTCTTCATACACACACACACACACACTATATATATATATATATATATATATATATATATATATATATAATATTTATTTGTATGTGTATGGATATTTTTCTGTTCATATGTCTTGCATTACACAGAAGCCCCTTCCCCTGGAGGCCAGAAGAGAGTGGAGTTACAGATGGTTGGAAGCTACCATGTAGATGCTGGGAATTGAACCTGGGACCTCTGAAAGGGTAGCTGAAAGGTAACCAATCAGCCATCTCTCTAACCTTCTAAACTCTTCTTAATGGCAAAGAGAGTAGGTTCTTATAAAGGTGAAACTGGGATCAACCAAAGCCTACAATTGGAGTGAACTTCTAAATTCCATGTACAATTGTATTATTATTATTATTATTATTAATTATTAATTTTGGTGTACATCTTCATAGCCTTTGGATACTAAACCAGCAGAATACTTTTAAGTGTGGCTATACAGCCACTATCTTAAGCTCCAGTATGGGGACGACCAAAAGGTTAGTGTCAGGATGCCCAGTCTCAAGCTTGAATGCTTTGTTCAGTGCTCATGTGATATCACTGACTATTATGACTGTCAATGCTTTCTGTACCTATACCAGCATCTGGCCAAGTATACCGACCCTTAGAACTTTTTCCATGTGTTTTCTAGTAGGGCTCATCTGTCTTCCTGCTATAAGCCTTCCTGCTGTGCAGAGGCTAAATCCACAAAACTGTAGCAGGAGAAAGTGAGGCTAGGGGAGGGGTGCTCTGTCACGCTTATGAAGCACTTCGGGCAGACACTAGATTCCTCCCCATACAAACTCTTTCCTCTTTGGTTTTCTTTTCTTTTTTCTTTTTTCTTTATTCTGTAACCCAGTAGCCTAAACTTAAAAGAGAGCTTGCTGGAATTCAGAAAAAGCCAGGAAGAGGTGTCAGTTGTAGGGAAGCAGTCTCAGGGAGACAGACGGTCTTTCACATTCCCTGGGGCACTGTTTCAAAGCAATCAGTGCAGATGTACAGCTTGGGAACAAACATGAATCACCAACCAGACACCAGCCCCAGTCACAGCGAAAAATTAGTGGGCAGACATCACAATACATCCTTCAGATCAAGGGAGTAAGGGGGCAGTGTTGGCCAAGAGAAAGACTGAAGGAGGCCTTAACAAGTGAAATGAATATCCCATACAAATCAGACTACAATCAGGAAAAAAAAAGTGAACCTACAAAGGCAGAAACAAACACATAAACAGGGACATTATTTATTTAGGGCATTTTCTGTCTCTGCCTTAATCAGGACACACGTTTCATCTTTAGGCTTCTTTACATTGAAATATTATATAAGCAGTACAAGAAAGCTCAATAAAACATAGTCAGGAGAAAAAAAATACCATTGCTAGCAGTTCAGCATTTTCTATCCACGTATGTATATGTGTACGGTGTGTATGTGGGTGGGTGGGTGAATGGTGTGTGTTTATCTGTTGGGGGGAAAGTGTACCCACCATCATATGCATGCAGAAGCCAGGGGTCAATCGTAGATGTCTTTCTCAGCTGTTCTCTACTTACAAGGAAACTTGACTTGGCTAGATTTCTAGATGATCTGCTGGTCTCCGTCCCTCCTCTACTCTAACAGTGCAATTACAGACACATACAGCTTCTTTGCCTAGGTTTTACATTGGTTCCGAGGCTCTAAACTCAGGTTCTTATCCCTCCATGGCAAGCAAATTACTAGCTGAACTGTCTTCCCAGCCCCCATCTGAACATTTTTTGTATTGATTTGAATATTGATTTTTATAAGGTTTTACCATTCACTGTGGCTTCTAGAATTACAACTTCCCATATACTACTTAATTGTTCTTCCAGCAGCTGTACCACAATTTTCAGAACACATTCTCTTACATTTGGTGACCGTATTTGTGATTTTAAGTAGCACTGATGCTGGTGTAGTTAAGGGTGCAGATACTTGAACATCTATCATTCAGGAAGTTATCATTCAAGTGAATTTGGAGGGTGCCGCTCATACATTTCTGGTTCTGTGAGTAGCCATATGCTTGTACGGTAGAGGCTGTCTGTGTCCAACATGTGAACTGGTTAAAGACACTTTTTATCCAGGACAAGAGACCCGTCCAAGTTGTCTTGTTTACCCAT